AATGCAACTATAAAAAATACAAAAGAAATCCAAGGTTAAGGTTTTAAAGTCACTTTATCTGGAACGAATTCGAGGATTTGGTTTCTATTCTAAACTTTACAAACTTATAGAGTGCCTAAAGTCAAATAAACTTTTCTTGATTTTCTCACTGTCTTTTAACTCAAAATGTATCTAACCTATTTACTTACTACGTTTTAATGTAAAATACATAATTATTATCATTCCACACACATTATATTATTAATGGCGTGCACTGCAGTAATGCGTGTAAATAAAAACTCGTTGAACACGAAATTCAATTGCATTTAAATGAAATGAAACACGTATTGCACTAAAAATTACAAAAAAATGTCTCGCAAAAGAAACTGTGCGTGACCAGCTGTACCACCAACTATATTAATATTATGCACGCTTCGATTAAACATTATGCAATCATTTCTGCACCAGTACCTGGTATGTATGTTGTATAAGTATTTTAAATTGATATTACCGAAATCAGCGTAGATCAGAACCAGTGCTAAGACTTTATTACACTAAAAATAAAAATACCTACTATAACCTAATAATTCATGATATTATACCTATACGTCATAATATTATCTAAAATATTAAAAATACCAAAAAAAAAAAATTATTTATATAATTAATAATTATTTATTTTATACAAGTTATATTATTAATAGATTTAAATGTTTGTTTCAAAAAATTAATACCTACTCGAGTTGATAATATGTAATCGAATAGATGTTCAAAGTAATAATTTTCAAACGTATATAAAAAACATATAAGTACACGTAGATTTTTTTATCTGTGAATTTTACTTTTCCTCAAAACTTTTCATTGTGATTTGTAAAAAACATAGGACAAATCTGAATTTAAACAGCACTTAAAATATAAAATGCTTAAAATACACATAAATAGGCTCATTTTATATATATTTGAAATTCTTGATACATACAACAAATGCATAACTTACACTGCTACTTTTATCTATATTTTACAATAAATTTCATTAATACAATACAATTAGATCTCTAATCATATTATTACGAAATATAATATGCTTAAAGGATGAAACTTAATGCTTGAAAAGTTTCATATCATACTTTGAAGTATGTTATCAATTTATGGTCAGTCAGTAAGCGATATCTGTTTGTTTAACTTCAAAGCTTTCGTTTGTAAATTGTTTTTCCTGTCAGACGACTTTGAAAACCAATTAAATATAGATACGTAGTTTGTTATAATAAACATGACTCCCTCCCACCAAATTCGCTAAAAATAAAATTCTCTCGATCATAAACATAGATTACTAATAAATTTATTATTATTTTTATAAAAAAAAAAATTCATGTATTTTTTCTTTATAAATATTGTCTATAGAAAATTGATTTGTAAAAGTAAAAAACATTTTGAATTTTATCAGAAAAATATTTTTTAACTGTATAGTAACCGTTATTGTCTTGAAAATAACATAAATTTACGAAAACTGCGTTAAAAATATCACTATGGATTATCACATGCAATAAAATCAAACGAAATAATACTTATAGATTTATATATATTGTATAAGTACCAATTAGAAACAAAAAAAATTGTTTTTAACATTATTAATTATTATAGAAGTTAAACAGAATTGTATATCGTTGTTTTTTTTTTTTGGTTTAGTAATAATCTTAACCAATAATTGTGATCGATTTCTGTCCATGTATAAGAAAATTATTTTTACTTGAAATAAACAAAACTTAATCTACAAAATGCATAATTAGAATAATTAGAATTTCCGTTTGATTAATAGTTAGCAAAATGATAAAATCGACACAAATTTCTCATTTTGTAAATAACATCGGTCACTGAGATATCGTTGTACAAATAATAAAAATCTAATACATAATGTTGTCGTTGTGTACATTCAAATAATACCAATGAATAAACATGAATTATTTTAATATGATTAACATTTCCTTTCAAAGTAACGTTAATTTAAAATATTTAGTTCAGTAGATAAATATATTTTTTCCCAGGAATATATTTTTACTAATGTCGATTGTTTTAACCTAACCTTAACGATGTGAAAATATTATGATCGATCGCGTTGTTTAACGTGGTATAATAAAAGAGATACTGAACCATAAAGACTTGTCTACTCCAATCGCTTCGATACACGACTAGTCAGAGTTATTAGCTTATTATTACAATGATACATTTAAAAGTAATTATTAATCGAGACATTCGAAAAAACGACTACCTATTCAACAATAATAGGTTTTATAATATAGCTTTAAAAAATTGCGTGTGCTTAAAAAGTAATTTGAATTTTCAAAGTATTCAAACAGTTATGATTTTAATGTTTAATTTGAGCAATTTATTATTTAAATATCAAGTAACTATAATGTAACTAATACCACATTTTTTATGATAAATTAAAAAAAAAAAAATTACTAAGAAAAAAATAATTGTTTTAAAAATATTATTAAAAACTACCTGTATATTAGCTAATTTGGAATTATCAACTGCAGTCAATTAAAAAATAGCAATCATCGGAATAATTGTTGGAAGAAATTTTTTCTTCATTCATACAAAAATTATTATCATTATTATTATTATATAATCAATATTAATTACAAGTTATAATTAATAATTTACAAAATATAATGTGGTTGTGTATAATTAAAGCGGTTTGGCGAATAACTATTTGTATTCATTCAAATAAAATATTAAATAATATTTTAATAATTATTTAATTCAAACTAATGTCGTAAAAAAACATTTAAATCTTTCTTTTGACTTACAATAATAACACATACAGTCAGTCAGAATATTTTAAAATATGCGTACCTCTATTATACGTATTAAAATGTATTATGCCTGTGCAATCATCGTATAATGTAATGAAATTAAAATTTTTATATCAAAGAATATTGATCAATATACCTTTCTAACGCTTGTTTTTCACAGTTTAAACTTGTAAATTTACTTCTCTTTTCAGTTATACAGTCGAACTGTCACAAATAAACCGTTATTATTGATTTCATATTTATGGATTTCACGTTGAAATGTGACTCTATATAATGTTATGTGTTCTATTTCGTGTAAAAATGTACATCCAATCAAATAAAATACGAACGTGTTGTTACGCTGAGTCCTTGTCGACACGATTTTTGATTAAATTTCACTTGGCGTTTTATTTATTTATTTAATATTATTATTTTTTTTTCTGGCGCATGTTATACCTAATACGTGTAGGTATACTCTTCGTAGACGATAGACTGATAGACATATACATACAAAAATATAATATAATATTTTAGTACTACGAATTGTTTTATGCATCGACACGCAACGAATTTCCACGCCGAAACATCAACATCAATAGATAATAATAATGGCCACAGACCAAGCAAATATTGTTCAATTGTCTTTGTCAGGAAGGGGATAAGTTAATTAAACTGCCTCACGCATAAATAAGCACGATTGTACATCACGAGATAGGAATTGAAAAATGATGTGAATTGTCGATGTCAAAGTCTGAATTTCTAGGCCACTTACAGGTAATATATATGAAAATATTGGAATTGAAAATGAACGCGAATTTTCCATTTGGAACGGCCCAAATCAATTTATGTAAATATACGTTAGTGGACTAGTGTGTATGCATTTCACGTGAATGGCCTATATGAGACATGGTTCAATTACATAATTTTTAAATAATTATTTTTGCAACAGTTAACAACAACATATAATACTTCGCTGAAATCACTGCAGTCAAAAACATTGAAATGCTTGTATTAATAACGGAAAGAACTGAATGTAATAATGTTATTGGATTATTAATAACTTATAGTATACTTAGAAAAAAAATTTATAAAATATATTACTTAATAATAATTTATTTATACTGAGACGTTGTCGAGCTACACAATCATTTTTCTCAATTATCATTTAATATTATTTAAATTAAAAATAATATACATATACTGGTCTACAGAGGATGGAAATTCTCAAGATTTCTTTGATGTTTTCTGATATTTTTCAAGAGGAAAACATTAAAAACCAGCTAGTTTAAAACATTTTACTTAAACAATGAATAAGAATAAATATAGCCGTAATACACTTATCGTTTAATAATTATTTAAAAAACATATTTTATAATTTAAATTATATATATATATATTTTTTTATAAATTATTATACATTTTTTCTAAATATGAAAGTATTAAACATCATTAAAAAATGTTCGTTTTTAAATTATATATTTAAATAATATTATACGTATTTATAGGAATACCTATTATCAGTAGCATATCATATTTATTCCTGAAAGTTAAGTTAATATAACTTGCTTTGTTTAAAAAATAATAATATTGAAACCTATGTATTAGATTTAAATTTATCAAAAATTCAAAAATACTAATTTTCAAATTGTAATGCATTTGAATGCCGTTTTTATTTTTATTTAAGTTAAATACATTTTTTTTTTTTTAAACTTTTTACAAATTACAATAAAATTGATTAAATTGTCATTAGGTACTCAGTATGTTATTTACTACTCACAAAAAATACTTTGATGTTGGTTCGACAAAGAGTATACAAATATCATTACACTATTTTTGTATATTTATTTACTTTAATGAAAATACATCCACGATACACGTAAGCAATATGTTTACAACACATCACAGAGACGAGAATTATTATTAATATTATGTGCAATATGCTTATCATCATTAAACTAATTTAAAAATGTAGTAAATCTAAACAGCTAAATTCGTTGCGATGATGGCAATGATGTATACCATGATGACAGCAATAATACGCTGGACTACAAAACTATTGATATTAATCTTATTCAGTGTTCGATGGGCAACATGATTTTAGGCGGTGGGAAGGATAGTTAACTCTAGTATAATTATGTAAACTTTGAAACCATAACGTGTTATTTAAACTAAATTATGATTATTTAGTATTATGTACATATAAAAAAATATACATTAAAATATTACCTGTCGAATTCGATTGAATTTCGAAGTGGATCTTGAATTCTGTGAACACCAAGATTACCAAGTTTGTGGATTAACACAGTGTAGTCGAATGTTTTTCTTAAATCTGTAAAATTTACCACAACTTAAATACGTTTGAACAGATAATACAAATATTAATAGACTATGTAAATTATAATTTTGAAGCTATATATCGCGTTACATAATGAGTTGTGTATTCACACAAACAACATTTTTTTTTAAATTTAATTTATGCAAAATATTATATAATTCGATTCTCATATTGTTTATTATTAATAATAAACGCATTTTAGATGACAGATTTGTAGTTCTAAATTTGAACTGAAAATATTAGAAAATAGTTAAATAATCGATAAAATTGTTATTTATTCAGTTGAAATGGATATGATTAATTTACCTAACCATTTACTAACAGCGTATGCACTCGGCTGTACCTATATAATGTAATCAATCTTTGAAATTATAAATATATAAAACCGAAATTAAACAAACTATTAAATAAAAAATATTGAAAATATTATTTTTACGAATAAATTAAAAACCAAAAATAGTAGTAAAAATAGTAATTTAAATTGTGCATGTGAATAAAAAGCTATTAACGTTTTTTAAGAATAGTTAGCAATATAATGAAAAAAAATTAACTTGAATTATTTAACTTGTAAATTATAAAACAACATAACAGTATATTTAGCTCAATAATTTTAAATTTGATACGATGTATACATTATCTTGTTTTTACTCGGTTAAAAATTAAAAAATTATTTTTTTTTAAGTACCGGCCACCTGTAGAATCACACTTATTAATTGTACAACTTTCAAAGTTATTAAAGAGTAAGTAAATGTATTCTACTATTAATTATTATTTTTATGCACTCAGCGGTAATAGATTAAGAAATAACTCAAAATTAAATTATTTAATCAATGAATATTTATTTGTTTATTATTTAAAAATATGTACGCATAGGTACTAAACTTAAGATAAAAAATAATTAACTAATATATATATATATATATATAACATATGTATACTATAATCTAACTTAAAATATTATTTTTTAAATTAACTAATAAAAGTTAAATTATTTCAATGGATGTTTGAGCTACCTATAGGCTATAGTAAAGATAATTTAAAAATAAACTAACTAGTTACGTTAAAAAGTTTTGTAAAAATAACGCAATTTTTAAAATATTCAAAATTATAATGTGATTACGTACTCGTATTATAGTAGTGTTTAAAATATGATATAATATTTATGTATTATACAAGATAAAATTGACTAAGAACGTGATTTTAATAGGAAATCATCTTATGTTATAAATAGTAGTGCAACACTAGTAGTGTCGGCATCACAGTAGTTGTAAATCATACGTTTTATAATATTAACATCAAACATGTATACTACTAGCTGTTTTTGTGTCAACAGTTGATAACCGGTAATGGTGACGGCTGGTGATGTAAAACTAAAAGAACAGAACCAATGTTTAAAAAAATTAAATATTGTTCGTAAGTGTAATTTATTATTAAATTTATAAATAATCCTACGTAATTAAAATAACTTTTTATAACTAAAAATAATACGTCGTTGCAAAACCAATAGTTCCCTGTCTCAATAAGCTTAATTCGAAATCCAAAAATTTGAAAATGTTATCAATAATATTGTTAATATAACATAAAACCAGACGAAAAGAATGTATAGAAATGGGAGAAAGTTGACATAATATGTAATAACTAACAACGTACTGTATTATGAATTTATGGTATATTCTGTATAGTTGCGCTTTTATTGCTAGAAATTTTGAGCACTTATAAGTTTAAAATACAATTTGTACTATAGATTGTTTATAATTACATTAAAAACTCATTTAGTCACCAATTTAATTAAACGACCATTGAATTCACATTAACAAAAAAAAAAAAAAAAAAAAAAAAAAAAAAAATAACGTTTATAACTCAGAATATTCATTTTTATTTTATAATAAGTAGATAGGTAATAATAAACATTATACGAAAAGAAGATTTGTATCTGTTTCTCACGCCTGTTGTATCAGTCGTCATTTAAATATAATATAATTATCCAATTTTATCTTTTCCCAATAAATTTTTAAGTGTTATTTATCCATTAGGTGTAAATATTGACAATACTTATATTGATTTATGTAATTTATGTGAGTACTATATAATATTAGGTCTTTATAAAACTATACATAAATCGAGTTAATAATTTTATTTGAAATGTTCGGTTTGTAATCGATATGATTGTATTTTTGATGAAAAAATTTAGATTTCGTCATATTAAACTCGCGTCATTTGATAACTTTTTAATTGCAAAAACATAATCGAAAACTATTTGACAGGAATGAATAATAACATGATAAAACATAATTATAGTGCAATTTCCTTTTTTCGATAAAATATCAAAAACAAATAAGTTGATATATTTTAATGGCGTTTGTTGTTTAAAAAGACCAAGTACATTTATTTAAACTAGATAAAATAAAATAACTTCTTTACTAAACAATTTAATATATTCAACTATAAGTCACGAGATAGTTTATTTAATTGTCTAATCATTTAATTAAAAATCCAATTTATTTACAATAAAATGTTAGTATGGTAATGTAATAAAGAATATATTATCTGTACAAATATTTGAATGACAACTTATTGATTTTATTTACCGTTTGGAATGTACTCGGAAATGTTTATCTATCACTATTTACTATCCCACGTCGATATAAGGGAATCGCGTCTACGTTATGCATATGTAATGCTAATTCTAACTGTGAAATTTATGATTTTTTTTTACTCGTACTAATGAATGTTACACAATAACTATTATATTAAGTATTTTTTTGAACTTTGTGTTAGGTTAATAATAATTTATTAAAAATTAAAATTAATTAACAATTTTCATTTTATAGGTAGTTCTCAAATAAAACTGGTAACATATTAGGTTTTTCGAATTTTGATTACACGTATAAATATAATATGTAACGGATCTTGATACTTTAAACTATAAAATGAATATTTAGTATTGATTGTAGGTAAGGTTTTACGGTAATCAATTTATTTTTAAAAACATAAATCTATATCGTATCTTTGTTATCAGTTAGTAAAAAATTCTATGTTGATTCTCGTCTTATTTTGAAAAAAATTAGAATCAAATTCGTGCTATTGAAAATTCCAAACATAAAATAAAGTAAACGTGTAAATTTACAGACAGATAATTGCGAGAAAAAAAAAATTACGTAATATATTATATGAACATATTAATTGTTATTACTATCATTATCGAAGTATTACATTTTTCAAATTTAATTACCACCAAATAATTAAAATATTAACTCAGTGTGTATTTTATAATGTTACGTCATTTTCAGTTCTTTACAAGACGTGATATTATACTATTATACCATATACTCGTACACTTACAACACTACACAATAATGCGACGACAAGGAGAGGAATGAACGCGTGTTTTTCCGGGAAAACACGTTACACCAACAAAATGAAATGGCTTGGGCAACAAGTCTTAATATCAACAACTATTTTCTAATTTTGAGTGAAAAATAAAATTGAAAAAAACGATCATACAGTAAGAAATTTAATTAATAATAAAAAACTGGGGTGCATCTGATTGATGATAATTATATGTCACAATTTATAGGGCATCGAGCACTTAGTCACAACATAAATGTATAACTGAAAGGAAATGTCGGCATTGAATAATTTTTTATCTAGCCTAAAACTCGTATACATCGATCAATTGTTTAGTGATTAAATTAAAAATCTTAATATTTTGAAGTCTCCAAGACGATTGTATTTATTATTCTTTTTAATTATGTATTATAAAAAATAATCGAAATCGATTCTGATATAAAAGATACACTCTCCTACACAAATTGCCTGTAGTTATCACGGTTGCAATAATTATGACTGAAATGTTTGTTAAGCATGATTATAAAAATATCATTTCCTTAAGTCACCGTAATAAAAATTCATAGTAAAAACTAATTATATTTAGGTAAATTACAGATTAGTTATGACCATTGAGGTTTTAGATAGCAACACTTCAACAGAGGTAGGCGGGAGCAGACAAGAACTTATTTATTCTCTAATTGATCAGAACACTTTTGAACAAAGGACCTTTCTTAATTATTTGATATAAGGGCCATAACAATTACAAGATTGCCCTGGAAAATTAATTTCCTAGATTGTTACCGCATTGCACTCAACAATATTATTTACTTTAATCAGGATTTATGAAGTGGATAGTGCAACCCGTGACATCAACAGACACCTTGAAAACAGGTGAAAAATTTAGTATTTTCAGTTAAGCTATCTACCGAAATGTTTAAATCCTATCTATAGAATATGACTTTACTATATCAACCATTGATCAGTAGAAATAACAAATAAAAATTATATGTGATTTGTACTCAGAATGGACAATTTAAATTACTTTAAACGCAATCGTAACCACTATAAAATGATTAATTTTTAATATGAAACACATAATAATTGAATGTAAGAAAAATATATTATTTCAATGAAGATAATTGTAATTAATGAATAGTGATGTTGGTATACAACGTTTAATATCAAGACAATATTTTGTAATTCAGTTTCAAACCCTCTCTAAACTCATTTACTCTTATATACGTGTATTTTGTTTGATTGAAATATTGTAAGCTTTCAATTTGTTGAAAGGAACGTATAATGAAGAATGTAGAAAATCATATTTTGATCTAAAGGTGTTATAGGTTCTAAAGATGTTGACAAACAAACACACTGATTTTCTTTTTCATTCAAAGCTTCAATCGTGAATTTAAAACCTCAATACTACCACTAATACTACCTATTAACTAATACCAATTTACGATTACGACCTACGCACTTTGATACGTGCTAAATATATTTTGAACACATATTTTTTTTATAAAACCTATATAACCAGAACTATACCAAGTTAGTAAAATCAACAACTAGACGTTCGTCTTCACTTGTGAAAACTATCAATAATTTATATGGGATGAAAAAATGCTTAAAATGAATTATTTACGCGGCGCTTGCTATTGTTCGTTTTTTCACTAGAGTTTTTTCCACAAAGTATATTATTTACATTTTTTGATTGGGCATGGGTCGTTGCTTTTTAACAAATTTTACGTATTATGTCTATTCCTTCTATTATACTTCTTACCTTCGTTTTGTATACAGTTATCTTATAATAGTATATAGGTACTAGGTAAATGGATATTAATATATTATTATGTACACACTTGTATTTATTACTCAACTTACACGCACGGACGAACGAATTTTACCAATAAAAAAAAAATGTTTTTGTTTTACAATTTCGTCTCTTTCATAAACAGAAAATACATGATATTTAGGTATAAACAAAAAATAAATTAAAAAATGTTTACCATGCATGAGAATATGATAAACGAATAACCTCAGTAATCTCACACATTAATAGCATATACACATTATTTTACCATTAAAAATTAATAATTTCAATTTTCAAAAAAGGTTTTGATACATACATCAATATTTGAATATTATATGAATATGCATACAAACCGAATCAATTAATCTCTATTTAGATTGTCAGTAGTCCGATAATAATTGTCAGCCCACCGTAATATTAGATGATGGATGAAGATAATTTTTTTAATGGATTTAGGTATAATATCGTCAAATATTACAAATCATGATAAATAAAATAAAATACTATATTGATAAAATAATAATTTTAATGTTTTTAAACAATAAATATTTATTTATTTTTTTTTTTTGATAACATATAAATTGATTTTAAATATGATGAGTAATTATATTTACGTATTTCTCCTTTTAATATTTCTACGAAATTAATTTTTCTTATAAGTTATAACAAAAATGTTCGATATTTTTAAAAACATAATATGACATCAGCTATTATTAATAATTTAAATGAATTATATTACGTGTGTAATATATTATCCTCGTACAAAAAATGTAATATAAATATTATTTTGTATTTGTTTCTTATAATCACCCTTAATGTAATGTTACAATTTTTATATTGATTAAATATAATTTTTATTTATTTAAAAACAGAAACACTGTTTATAAATATCAAAATATAATTTATACTAATGATAAAGTTTTTAATACTAATTTAAAATAATTCTAATCGGAGCTTTATAAATGAAAGACAATACCTACCCATTAATATTAAATTTAAAATAATCACTATATTTTATTTTATTTTTTTTAGATTTATAAAGTGAATATTGCACAAACATTAATAATCTAGTGTTCCTATTTTATTGTTTATATTCTAACTAAAATTATATTTTATATAATATTATTTTGAATAATGAGAGAACCGTACATCATTTTTAAAACTATGAGTTTTTTATTATTTACATTTCATACATCTACCATACTACATTAATTGGTTTGGTTAAGGAGGAATAAAGATAAATATAAGCTATATGCTATTAAAAGAAAAAAAATACTATATTAATGTAAATTATTATTATTATTAAAGTAAAGTTAATGATTTTATAAAACCAAATAGTTACTTTGAAAATATTTTTTTTTTTTTTTTTATTAAACAAAGAAAAAATTTAATCAACAATAATACAATACGAAACGATTTCAATAAGTTTGAATAAAAAACCTATATATGTAAAAGAATTTTTTTTTATGTGAAATTAAATTTCACAACACTAATAATAATATAGATATAAAATATACATATACATCATTAAAAATTATAAATACTCCTAAATTTATTTATCTTAAGCAATCAATAATAGTTGTAATACTAGAAAATATTTCTAAAAAATTCAAACAATATGTTAAAAAGTTGTAATATAAATTGTAATTTATTGTAGTAATTTAATAAAAAATTTAAATTATGAATGCAATTTTCTAAAAATATAATATTTATTTTAATCAGGAATTTAGAAGAAAAAATAAAACAATATATTTATTCTTGAGTACCGACTAATAAATTAATATAAATACAAGGATAAAAAATTTTAATTAAGTTGCTATTATAATAATGAAAAATAAAATAATTCTTAAGTCGAAAAAATTATATATATTTTTTTTATGATTTTTTTTTTTTTTAAGTATTCTTGATTTAGAGTTAAAGTCAATTGAACGTTTTTACATAAACTTTGTAAAAATAAAATACTAATAATAACTACAGCAATTTATAAGTATATTTTATATCATATTATATTTATATAAAGCAAAAATAATAATAATAATGTAAGTCATATTACCAAAATTTGTCGTCAAATGTTCAACGCATGGTGTGGCTGTTGACGATGAGACAGTTTGGTCGTCGATTGTCGACTGTAGCTCTCGGTGAAGCTGCGAGCCGATCACAGCTTTTGGCGGACGGGTTGCAGTTGCTTCGTTGTCGCCCAGAAAGCCCGGACGGTCCTATGGAAACGCTCGAACCTCTGACTGGCGGGTTGGGGTGGCCGCACCCTCCTTCCGCGGCGCCCTGCGCGATCGCTACCACCTACCCCCGACCATACACCCGCCGACGGTTTATGCGGTGCGCACGCATCCATTGCCTCCGCCGAGTACCCAGGACCAACACCCACCAGTCACCTGCAGTAATCTCACGCAATAACCCTTTGCCAGCGTCTTCCACCTCTGCTACCTATGCGTAAAGGTATAATAATAATTTGAAAGTTTAACAAATATGACGTGTTGCACTTATTTACCTAGTGTGTACACATTATTTGTATGTTTCGATGCTTATGATAGTTATTTTTTAACGAGATCCGGTATATAGAGGGTTGCACTCATTCCGCGTTGTGGGTAATATATACCATTTTCGGGTGTATTTACATATTAAAGGTACCTTATTTGTAATTCATCGTCGTTATATTTGCGATGTTTTATTAATGTCTATATTATTATATACTATATATATGAATATTATAATATTATACGCAATAGCATATTGTGCACCTACTCACCTTTATACGGGTCTCATTCATTTCCGATTACAGAATTTAAAAAGTTTAAAGTTTCGTCTTCTCTGCGACTTAATTCTACAAATCATTTTTCACACTGAATCAACATATTTTTTGTGTAGAAATATTATAATCACCATCAGCCGTATATTTGACCCGCAATATATGACCAATGCATACCCTAAGTCAAAATTAAAAATGTCCAGTTATAAGTATGCCTTCTATTATAATATTATTTACTCTTACCGCTGTTACAATTTTCATTCTAAATCTAAGTTTGTGCTTAAAATGATGCATGCAAACATATAAATACGATAGTAAAATTAATTATTTAAATTCAAATGTTTTAACTCTTGGTATAGTTGAAAAAATGAAGTATCATGATAAAACGTGTATTATGAAAGTATAATTTTATCATCAATTTAACAAATTTTACATTAACGTATTGTTATCCTAAATTACATGATAATAACCAAAAAACACAATGACTTATACACGCAATCGAACTATTTCGTATGGTTATAGTGAAACTAATTACAAATTATGATTCAGTTTTAGTTTTGTTTCAGTTATTAATTTTATTGATACTGTTAGGTATAGTTTTAGTGTCACACTTTAATATTGACAAATGGATACTGATTTGCTATGCATTAGGTGTTAGTGGGCTACTGTTATGGGTGTATACAGTTTGAATTTAATGTTAAATCATTGTAAACGAAAAACCATTCTGAACAGAGACTGCCTATAAGCTTATATTACAAAGTATAATTCAAGGTGTAGAACACGATAGATAGGTTAACAAATACCTTTAAGTAAAAAAAAATAAACACGATTGCGTTCGAAGTTATATGCACATTGTAAATGCATTAATTTTACCATATATCTAATAAATATCTGGTAAAATATGTTGTGCACTTCTATAATAATTAATATAAAATAATAAAATATATCTAATGAGAATAACTAAACAATAGTAAAATAATTAAAATAATCAATAAATTATTAATAACGCTTTATATTTCACACAAAATTGTGTAGTTAAAAATCAGGTAAAATCGTACACAATTGTGTAGCTTAAAAAGATATCACCGTTAACGAACATACACAATCATTTTTTACCCATTCTAAAATATATATATATAACTATTAGTTATTTATTTTACTTTTAGTACTACTGTGTTTTCATAATTTTTTTTTTCAAAAATATTGTACTCATTATATTATTATAATGATATATATTTATAACATTTATAATAACGTTATAACTCGAAATGTAATAATATCTTTCTTTAAATACCATAAAATAGTAAAAATAAATTCATAGTATAAACATTAAACAGATAATATTTTAAAACAAATCGAAAGTTTCATTCCGTATTTCAAAATTATTAATGATATTATAATACATGTAATAGTTTTAAATTCCTACAAATAATGATTTTAAATCTTAACAAAGTAATTAATATCGTTATTTATCTTTAAATAGGTAAGTAATTTTGTCCAAATATGAATTTTAAATGCATTTAAAAAAAAAGCAGTGCCTATATGTTTTTAATATTTTTAAATAGATACAAGAAAAAATTTGTTTGTAAATCTTAAATAAAATTTTCAAGAGTTTTGACTCTGTGTATGATTTGTTATTGACTTAAAAAAACTCTTAAAATAATTGACAATTTTTTATGTTTTTAAATAAACTAAAGTAAGTTAAAATGTTTGAAATTAATAAAATTAACTGTTTATGAAGAAATAATTATTTTATGGGTACCAATAAAATTTTATTAGTCTTCCAATGTTATAAAAATTAATATTTCAAATTCTCATGAAAAATTAATTTAACTTTCCGGTATTTTTATTATTTGCATAAGTTAAAAAGTTTTATAAATGTCTAACTACAAAATAACTGGTACAATTTTAAGGATTTGGCGAATATTATCGTCACAAAGAATATAGTAAAAAAATAGTTTTCAATACTCAACACAAAATCAATTAAGAAATTGATAATAATTAACACAAACCAAACTGGTATATACCTGATAAATTTTTAGAGATTGAAACAAGTTCAGATGTTTACGTTTGAATTAAAATAAAATTTTTAACGATGTTAAACCGATGTTGGAAGTACTGTCCAGTATGCAGTTGACCCGTTCTTCTAGTTATACCTACTTACAATTGTCTATTATTATAAACACAACATGCCTTGTGGAAATCATCGTAGTCATGGTCGTATCTAATTTACTGATGTAATCTGTTTTATATCGTACAAACCTAACCTTCTTGAATTGTATTTATTTATTATGATCAGTTAAATACGTGTATTACATACTAGAAAAAATAAGAATATTATTAAGGTGGAGACGATGAGGTACCTCTTATATGTACTGCAGGTTATACGGAAATGTATTTATTTCTTTTTTTTGAGTTTCTGACAAGTACCTTTATGCGATACTTGTATTATACTATATCTCATTATAGTTATTGGTTGTGTTATTTACATTTCATTTGTGGATATATTTTTGTTGAATATGTGAATAAAGTCTTAATAAATTTGTTCATTATAAAAATTGACCAAACCTCAACTTTTTATTTTCTACCTAAATTATGCCCCAAAACATTAAAAGGTATATCATTTTAAATAAATAAAATATAATAATGAATAATATATTAATTGATTAATATTATACATCTATTAATATTATTATTAAATAGTATAATTGGACTAAACAATCTGGGAAAAGGATTTGAAAATATCTTGGACCTTCTAGAAAGTCCTCTAATAAATATTTGATTTCTTCATTATTGTTGAAAAAAAAAACTAGAGTTTTAAAAATTGGGGGACTATAAACCATGTTTTACAGACATCAATAACCTTTTGAATGAATATGATTAAAAAAAAAACTTAGGAACTCGTTCTATTATATAGAAGGTTTCAATTTTATATAGTGTCAATGAAAGTATATATCACTGTAATGGATGTGTTAAATTTTAATTCAATAATAATGTATAAAAAACGAACTTGATCTGAAACGGTGTTGTCTGCTTTTATTTCTAAGAAAATCGCTCCAGCACAATTTTACAAGGTAACGAAAGATAAAAATCTTTTTTTTTTAATAAAATACGAATGTTTAAAAGCAATATAACTACATAATATATATTAGTAGTTATTACTCATTCATTTTTACGCTGATGTACATATTACGATAATTTTTAATGACCGTTCCATAATGTAATTGCGGAAATCTACGTTATTAAGCGGTTTTTTTTTTTTTTATTGATTTATCAATAAAAGCTAGTTTAAACTGCAGACCTTAACTCTGAAACCTCCAAACGAAATATAGAATACCACATTTTATTAATCGAATAGAAAATGAAAAAATAAATTGCAAATTACGTTAACAACGTAAAATGTGATCGAAAAGCCAAAATAATTTAAAATAAAACGAAAAATAAGGGTTAAGGTTAATCGAATATCGATAGAGCCATGCAAAGTTTTACAATAATGAATAAAAATAGAGAAACTAGTCTTTCTAAAAAGAAAGTTTCAATTATACCTACCTGTAAATCATTGCTATGAAATATGAACACATCAATATGAATTCGTTGAAAAATAATTTTATACAACAAATGATTCTACTGAAGATGGTGTTAGCTTGTATTTCAAACAGAGAATTGAAATTGATTTTAAATATCTATAAAAATCGCTTAAAAACTTCTAAAAAATCATAATTAATCCCAAGTTTTTTTAGTATTCAAAATTTATATTGAAATTTAAAAATATTGAAATCTATAATTTAAACTAAAATAATAATCATTATTTTTGCCTATTTAATCAAAGTTTGATGGTGTATATTTATTTCCTTGTTGTCATGATGATAATTAAAAATAATTACGTGCAGTGTGTAAGTGTATAATATGTTTTATAATAAAACACCATTGTTGACCAGTCGAGAAAAATAAATCCAGATGAAAACTGAAAAAATAAAAAAAATATATGACTTTTCTAAAAAAAAAAAAATAGTGTTAAAAAAACTAAAAAAACTGTGGTTTTTGGTAAAATTGGAAAATTTAGGTTGAAGTAAAAATGCACTTAAAAATATTATCTCTATTTAGTACTCGTATTTATCCATCCTTGTATTAATTTAAAATATTTATTTTTTTTTCAATTGCTTATTAGTTCTTAATAATTATTTTCGACTTTGATACTGAATAATCTTTGCCTTTAATAGAAATCTTATTTCAGAAAATATAAATAAATATTTATATCAATACAACGTAATCCCGTCTTGCATTATATTGTAATATTAAAGTAAACTATTGTGTCTGCGCTGAGATCCGACGAATAAAATTGTGTTCGCTATTATCAAAAACA